CTGTATGAAAAGTGAATTTACTCTGTAAATCTTCACCCAAATCAAAATAAAATTTTTTTAAAAAAGGAATCCTGTAGATTTGAAGTGAACCAGTACTAGTGGCCATTGAGTTAACTCTAATACATGGTGACCTCTTGTGTCAGAGTAGGACTTTCCTCCACAGTGTTTTTCAATGGCTGTTTTTTGGAAGTAAACTGCCAGGCCTTTCCTCATAGAGCCTCTGGTGGACTCGAACCTCCAATCTTTTGGTTAACGGCCAGGTACATTTGCCATTTGCGTCACTCAAGGACTCCTCCTTTAATTGGAATCATATGAAAATTATATTTTAGAGAACATTGCCATCGTTACATTATTGAATCTTTCAAAGAAAAAGCTATGTTTTTCCTGTTTATTAAGTGTTCTTTTATCTCTTTCAGTGTTGTTTTCTCCACGAAGTTCTGATTTCTAGATTTATGCCCAAGTATTTTTTTTACTATTTTAAATGGGATTTTCTTCATTTGTGTACTCAAAAGTTACTTTTTTTTTGTATATTAGTATCTGTAACCAGATACCTTATCATTTCTAACAGTTAAATTAAAAAAAAATTAAGAAATAGATAAGTGCATAAGCTCTGAGTGAGACAATTTAGGGTCAAATGCAGATTTGTCATCCTTGTTTAGTTATTTAATGTTTCTGAGCCTTATTTTTCTCATCTGTGAAATGGACTCTTTATAATACCCTCCTTAATGGGTTGGTCTTGGTCTTGCTGTGAGTTGGCATCTACTCGATGGCAGTATTTATTTTATTTTTTTAAAATTAAGCACCTACTATGTCCTGTCCTGACACTGTGCTAGACTTCAGGTTACAGTGGTGAACAAGCAGCTGCTATGTGCCAGACATTGTCCTGGGCACTGGAGTTACACTGGTGAACAAGGCGGAAGACATCCCTATTCTCATGGAGCCTTTCATTGTAGCAGGTTATGAGTATTAAATGAAGTAAAGCATGTAAGGTGTTTACCACAGTGTCTGTAACAGTCAGCACATTAAGTGTTTACACTTGTCCAAGTGTTAGCCTTTATCATAGTTTTGGATTTTATATGTGCATAATTATATAATTGCTAATACTCTTTCCCGATACTTATACCTTGTTCTTCTCTTGCTTAATTGCATGTTTTGGTTTTTCCTCCCTATATAATGTGACATTGGGCATCCTTGCTTTCTGATGGCAGTGCTTATAGTACAATTAAGCATGACTGTGATTTAAAAATTCTTGTTTAGCCATTCTATGAATTAGCTTTGTGCCATCTATAGATCTGGGAAATCTTCTCTGCCTTCATCTAAATGTTGATCCAAATGTTGAGCATCAAGCTCTGCCTGAGGCATTCTTCTCTGGTTTAATACTGAACCATTGTTAAACAGTCAGCTTTTTGATTGTGATTGTTTATCCACCAACAAATCCTTTGAGCATGATGGTCCAGCTTACGCTTTCCATCGATTTCAAAGGCCTATTGTAAGAGATTTTGCCAAGGTCCCCCTAGAAAACCAGGTACCCCATATCTTTGCCATTCCCCTGATCTACCAGGCTAGGGCCTAGCTGGAAAAATAGGAAGACATTAAAACCAAAAATCCATTGCCATCAAGTCAAATCAGACTCATAGCACTGTGTAGGACAGAATAGAACTGCCCCACAGGGTTTCCAAGGCTGTAATCTTTATGGAGGCATGCTGCCGTATCTTTCTTCTGTGGAGCAGTTGATGGATTCGAGCCACTGACCTTTTGGTTAGCAGCTGAGTTCTTAATCACTCCATCACCAGTTCTCCTTGAGAAGGTGTTATTAGTTATTGCAAATAACTAAGCAGCTAAGTGAAGGAGGGTGGCTCTGTGGGTGACCAGACTGGATCAATCTCTGTAACAGCTCCTCAGGTATCCTTGGTCAAATCTCGTGGCTGGTGCAGTCGTGTGTTGGGACTAGCTCATATCTGCTGGCCAGAGCTGATTGCGTGCATCTCTTCCCAGTTCTGTACTCATTGACATCGTGTTTGTGGTTTAAAATTGTCCATGATGGGAGCATTTATACCACAGCAAATGTTACAAATCAGGTTCCTCCACCTCTCCCTACTGGCGCCCCTTGGAGCTGGGTACAATGGCAGCTCTGTTCTGGGGCTGCAGTCCTTCCCTCTCTCAGAGAATGGCAGTTGGCAGTTCTCTTGCTTGTCAATTGCTTGTCCTAAGAACCCTAATTTCTAACTCTGCCTTTCCTCTTTGTGTCGCCCCAGGATGTGGGCTCCCTAGATGAGAAGATGAAGAGCTTGGATGTGAATCAGGACTCAGAACTCAAGTTCAATGAGTACTGGAGGCTGATTGGGGAGTTGGCCAAGGAGATCAGGAAGGAGAAGGCCCTGGAGATCCGGAAGAAGTGAAGTTGACTGGCAGGGATGGGGGTGGGCAGGGCAGGGCAGGCCAGGCCAGGCAGAACCCCACTGCCCCCAAATAAAACTTCCCTCTTAAAACAAAAATGTGCTGCTTATTCATTCCCCCTCTCCCTGTTTTTTCTCTTGAGACTACCTGTTGCTACCGAGTCTATTCTGATTCATAGCAACCTTGGAAACCCTTTGGACAGAGTAGAACTTCTCCATGGGGTTTCCAAACTTTACAGAAACAGACCGCCACATCTTCCTTCTGGGGAGTGCCTGGGGAGTTTGAACTGCTGACCTTTTTGGTTAGCAGCTGAGTACTTAATCACTGCACCACTAGGTGCCTTCTTTTGAGACTCACCTAAAACTAAACTCACTGCCATCGAGTTCGTTCTGACTCATAGCAACCCCCATTGGGTTTCCGAAGCAGTAAATCTTTACAGAAGTAGATTGCCCAGTCTTCCTTCCGTGGAGTGGCTGGTGGATTTGAACCACCAACCTTCTGGTTAGTAATCTGCTGCTTTAGGCACTGTGCTAACACAGTGCCTAAAGGAAAACTTTGCCTTACCTGAAAGTAGGTCTGAAAATTACGAACTCCTTAAAGGCCCGTTAAACCATTGCAATCAAGTGGATTCCAACTCATGACAACCCCATGGATTAGAGAGTAGAACTGCTCCATAGGCTTTTCTTGGCTGTAACCTTTACGGAAAGCAGTTTGCCAGGCCTTTCTTCTGTGGAGCTGCTGGATGGATTACAAATGCCAACCTTTAGGTTAGTAGCTGAGTGCAAGCTGCTTGCCTACCCAGGCTCCTTGAAGGCAGGGAATGTTATTCATTCATGTATTTCATAGCACCTAGCTCCAAACCAAAACCAAACCCATAGCAGTTAAGTTGATTTTGATTCATAGCGACCCTATAGGACAGAGTAGAACCACCTCATGGGGTTTACAAGGCTGTAAATCTTTATGGAAGCAGGCTGCCACATCTTTTTCCCATGGAGTGGCTTAACCACTGTGCCTCTAGGGTTCCTTTACGTCTTTTTTTTTTTTTTTAAGGGTTCCTTATGTCTTGTACCATCCATAGCCATCAAGTAGATTCTGATTCATAGCAACCCCCATTGGGTTTCCAAGGCTGTAAATCTTTAAAGAAGTAGATTGCCTCGTCTTCCTTCCCCAGAGCAGTTGGTGGGTTTGAACCATTGACTTTCTGGGTAGTAGGCCGACTCGACGGCACACAACAACAACAACAACAACAGTCAAATGCCTTACCCACTCTGCTACCAGAGCTCCTTTATGTCTTGTACAGTGCTCACAGTGTGCTTACAGTGTAAGTAAGTAATTGATGAATGAATATTGAAAAGTAGCAACAGACATCTGGGTAAAGGGCAAACTCATGCCCTACCAGGTACCTTCTGGGACTCGGGGGTGGTCCTTGCTCCCAGATTCCTTATTTTTCAGGGTCGTGCCACCAAATGATAATGATAGGTGTAAAAGTGTGTTGAGGGCTTATTCTGTGCCAGTCAAAGTACTAATAATTTTATCTGCATTATTTAATTCTCACAGCCCTTTGAGATAGGGTACTATTTTTGAGATAGAACCCTTGAACCAAAATCCAAACTCAGTGCCTTCAAGTCAGTTCAGACTCATAGTGACCTCCATTGGGTCCAAGGCTGTAAATCTTTATGGAAAGAGACTGCTTCATCTTTCTTCCATGGAGCAGTTGGTGGGTCAAAACCACCTTTGGTTAGCAGTTAATGCCTTAACCGCTACACCACCAGAGCTCCATAGAGCCCTTGAGTTGTGCTACACCACCAGAGCTCCTTAGGGCCTTTGAGTTGGTGCTATTTTTTAGCTCTGTATTAAAGATGAGGAAACAGATTTTGGAGAGGTTAAGTCACACAGACAAGAATAGGGGGAACAGGGTTTAAATCCCAGAGCTTCTGTGATTAATTGGGATGGTCTCTGGGTGAGTGCTTGGGAAAACTAGACTGTCCTCTTTCTCCCTCTCTCCAAAGCAAGGGTGGAGGGGAAGGATGGACAAAATGTTCTGCTTCAAGGACTGTGGAATGAGAGTGGTGGTGGTGCTGCAGGAAGAAGAATTTTTGGTCACTGAGGTATTCCAGCTTTCCCTCTGCTTCGTGCTTTGAGGGGAGCTCTGGTGGCAGAGTGCCTAAGGCACTTGACTGCTAACCAGAAGGTTGGTGGTTCAAACCCACCAGCCACTCCTTGGAAGGAAGATTGGGCAATCTGCTTCCATAGAGATACTGCTTTGGAAACCCAAGGAGGGATCACTATGAGTTGGAGATGACTCGACGGCACATAACAACGACGACGACAACAACAACATGCTTTGAGGAGCAGGTGGTTTGCACTACCTGCCACCAGAGGGAGCAGGGGCAGGGCCACTCAGAGTCCTTTCTAGGGACTGATGCCTCCTCACCATGCTGTCAGGTAGAGTCCTTTGGGGCAACTATTAGTCTTTAAGTCCCTGGGTAGTCCAAACAGTTAACACACTCGGCTGCTAACTGACAGGTTGGCAGTTTGAATCCAGCCGGAGATGCTTTGGAAGAAAAGCCTGGTGATTCCTTCTGAAAAATCAACCATTGAAATGTTTATGGTGTACAGTGCCACTCTTTATGGAGTCCTCATAAGTAGGAATCTACTTGATGGCAACTGGTTTTACTGGGTATTAGTCTGGAGGAACTTTTAGGTTGATACAAGCTGCCTCTCCCTCCTCCTATCTAAAGGCCTCTCCAGACTGAGATACAACAGAGGGACTCCCAGGCTGGGTCTCTGTGGGAAGGGGGGCATTTGGCTGAGACATTCCAGAGGGGCTATTAAACTGAGGCCCCCCCACAGTGAGAGACCCTCAGAGGGACCCTAGGACTGAGATTCTTCAGAGATGCCCCAGGCTAAGGCATTCTTGGGGAAGCCCCTAGATTTAGAGACCCTTAGAAGGGTCTCCCAGTTGAGGTCCTTCATAAGAACTCTCAGAATGAGACACTCTTAGGAGAGTCCCTCCATTGAGATATTTGCAGAAGTTCCCCTATTGAGACCAAAAGTACAGGAGAGCCCTAGAAGGAGACACAGAGAGGGGTATTGGAAGGTCTGGTCTGATCTCAGAGTTTAGAAAAGGAGATGAGGAACTTTGGCTCTGTGCACACCCAATTCTTGCTCTGCCCTTTGTAATGTTCTCTTCAGATTCCAGGCCCCTGGGTCTGGGAAGGTGAGCACGGCCACTTGGCTTGGGAACTGATGCTCAGACCCTGTACCTGCCGTCCAGTGTTCCCAGGATGCCATCCTGGAAATGGAATGGGAGGGGGGTTTCTGTGCAGATGCTGGTTTACGGAAAGCCTGGGCATCTGAGAAAGGGAGGAGTCGGAAGCTAAACACAAATTTGGAGAGATAATTAGCTGCCCCGTAACCCATTTGGGCCGCTGAGGGGAGCTATCTGGGTGAAGGGAAGTTTGGATAACACCCAGTGTGGCTGGTCCCTTCTATCAAGTTGCCCTTCTCTGGTCTCTTTCTCCTGACCCACATCCTCCTCATTTATCTCTGCCACCAGGACTTGGAAATGCTGGGTAGACTTAAGTGTCAGTATCCAAACTGGGTCTGGTTGGGGGGAGTGTTTGTGTCACATCAAAGGTACAGAGAAGCCTCTCTCAACCTCATGTACCTCTCATTCCCTCTGTGTTACAAATCCTGCCTTGATCAGCCCTTGCTCCTCCTTTTCTGATTATTGACACAGACTCTCGCCACTTCTTTGCCCCACAATTCCACTAGGCTCTTCTCCTTCCAGGCTCAACCCCAGTGTGTTTCCAAGTCCTCCATTTCTCTCTCTCCCCAGTCTTTCCACTCCCAGTCTTCCCACAACTCCGCATGCTGGTCTAGGGCCAGGGGCATCCCAGATCCAGCCCTCCATGGTTCCCTCCTGTGGCAGGAGGCGGGCCCTCTGCTCTGGCCAATGGAGGGTAGGGCCCACAAAACTGGCTCAAAGCCCAGGCTCTAGAATAGCAGAGGTGACTTAGGGATGAGGCCCAGCCCCCTGCTGCCCTCCCTTCCCCCAGGTATAAGAACTGAGCTCAGGTGAGCTGGTTCCTCCTGTCCTGCCTCAGCAGCTGCCAGCAGGTAAGGAAACCCAGGTATTTTCACCCAAATGGGCTGCTTTTTGCCCAGGGGCACACTTAGCTTACCTACTCTACCCTAGGCTGCCAGGGAAATTGCTGGGGGACTAGGTCCTTGAGGCAGAGGTGTGTGTATTTGTGTGTGTGTGTGTGTGTGCATACAAATGGAGGTGGGAGGAAGGAGACTGAGGTGAGCCTAAGGGACCTCTAAGTGTACTGGGCTAGCGGCTATGACCTTAGCTCCTGGATCCAGGGCAGGGACTGGGTTTTGTGTGGGGTTAGCCTGACTCCTGGGGTGAGTATCTGGGGTGGAGCCAAAGTAGGAAGTTGAGGAAGGAATGCTGAACCCTTCCCCTAATGCAGACCTCCCCTCTGTTCTAGGTGGAACATGAGCCATCAGCTCCTTTGGGGTAGGCTGTAGGACCACACAACTCTCTCTAGAGGAGCAAGTGCACCCAGGGCACCATGGGACAGTGCCGATCAGCCAATGCTGAGGTGGGCCCATTCATTCCTCATGTGTTTTCTTCTGTCTCCATATTCCTCTCCTCCACCCAGAGATTCTGTATTTTCCCATTAACTTGGGCTCTATCATCTTGGAGGCACAACCCCCTCCCTGATGCCCACACAAGGTGCTGTCAACAGAGTCCTCCCAAGAAGACCACATGCTGGGGCCTGCCCTGCCTGGGGACTGAGGGGCGGGGAGGGAAGGCTTGCCTAACTGTGGCTCAGGGCAGAGGCCTCTGTGGCTGGGAAGCCAAGAGGGTGAGGGCTGCTGGATTCTTGGTTTGGGAGTGGGTGGGATTCTGTGTGCCTTCCTCTCCCCCTGTCTTGTTGGCTCTGGGACTGTTGGGGATGCAAGACTCTTGGGGATGTCCCTGGGTAGGTGGAGCCTCCTTAATGTGGCTGATGATATCCCCTGCCCTCAGGATGCCCAGGAATTCAGTGATGTGGAGAGGGCCATTGAGACCCTCATCAA